TTTTAAATAAACAAATACAAATGTTGTCTAATTACGATCTAAATGACCCTGGTGAAGTCAACACGATTTAGCTTGTTTTAAACAAGGTATCGACTCAAATAGAGTGATTTTTTTGCGAAAAAAGTGGTTTAAAATCCCCAAAACTATATATTAGGGGATCCATAACTACAATTACCTACGAATTAATTCTCATTACTTTTGAAGGTAAGAAAAAATCATGCTTATATCTGCAAAAAGCAAAATTTATTATATATAATGTGACAAACTTATTTTCCTTTTATTATTTAAAGATAATGTTTATAATTTTATATCTTAATAGATTTATTAAATAAATGTTTGGACAGTAAGCAGTTCGTGTCATATAACGATTTGAAGTAAAACATATTAAAGAAACAAATAGTTCTCTGCTAATCAACTCAGTTTGAAACACTTCTTACAAATAAACATTTATAATTATCAAGTTTCAATATTTTTTTTATTTGGATCTGTTTCATAAATAATAATAAAGTTTGGGTAACACAAATAGTAAAAATTGGTGAAATTTTCCTACCCTTTAGTATGTGGGAAGAAAACTGTTACTCAAATCAAACCCACTTTTAGACGAGAACACATTAATGATGAGTTTTATGTTGCAAAGAAAGAAGAAAAATAACAGAGTTTTGTATTGCTAACTACCAAAAATTAAGGAGAGTTTAATGTACACGTATTTTATTTATCTTTGAACTATTTATAAAAATGTAATCAACAAATTTTAAGAATCCAAGAAACTCTAGTTAAAAAAAACAGACTTTATGTACATATGTACATACATATACCTCTTTTATATGAACATATGGTACTTTTTTACAATTTTTTTGTATTAATAATGTTTTCAAATTTATTTTAAAATGAGAACGCAAAACACCTGCTTAAAAAGTTACAATTTCAGTAATGCTCGTTGAAAAACGTTTTATTTTTTATTTTACCACTATAATTCAAGTGTACTTTACAAATGTGTTCCAGTTAAAACGCTACATATTGTGTGTGAATTTACCACAGATCATAAAGCTTACTAAATAACCCAGCGCTAATGTGGTTAGATAAGATTGATTTTTACTTGCAGGTTTAAAATTACGTATGTTTGCAATTTTCTTCTTATGTTTGAAAAACAAATTAAATAAAATTAATAGTGCACGACGTTTTGAGACTAGACTCAAAAAGAAAAAATCTCTCCACTTCACGAAAGTGTCAGAGTACATCTCATTAAGGTCGAAAACACATGTCCCATCCACAGTCCTGTCGTTAGAATTCTACGCCCTAATCCCACATGGTCATTTTTACCCGACGGCGGCGGGTGGAAGCAAAGCATTCTGGCTTGCCCAGCGTAGACGTAGACTCAACATAAAGCACCTACCAACGCAGCATTTTTGTAGTAATGTACTCGTAACATAGTAAAAATACATCCATTCCATTCAGCGAGCTTGCATTATACTGACCAGAACACTCAGCAGTTTAATTCTTCGGACGATTATTTACTTCATTATGCGTGATAAAATAAAGAAGTCGCAGTGTGAGATTTGCTGATGCTGAATCAAGATGTGCTTATAAGAAAAATTGTAGCGCTGATTTGCCCTCCTCCTAAACTCCTAAACGTATGAATAAAAAGTAAAGCATTTGCTTTTGCAAAAAGTAAAAATTTTGAGCATGAGCATTAATACTACCATCAAGTAGGTATCTGGTTATATCTCGAGAAAAATCTATGAATAAAATTGAGCAAATACTTCAAAATTTATGATAGTAAATAATGGAATCATGAACATAAGTGAATGTCGTTTTATGTCAAAAGTGCAACAAAATGTAATTTTAATGTTTCATTCTTTCACACATTTTCTATATTGGGTTTACATCGAAAAGACTTTATCTATCATTCCGCGAGACCTGAATGGCACTTTAATGATCGTTCTCTGCGCTGATGTCAGAGGGACATAAGATGATAACTTGGATTCAACTTGCAAATCTTAATTTAAATTTGATCAAAGGCGTATAATGATATTTGTTTTTTTGGGTTGCATCGCCAGATCGTCAGGCTCATTATCTTATCTGAATTGTCCTGTATATTGGCGACAATTTCTTGTTTTTGATTATGCATAATTGTATAAACCGGCCGATGCTCCGCAGTGAATCATTTATTTACCTTTACATTTATTTTACATAAAACCCTTGTTCCTTTGTTACTTATTGACTTTTTGTAAAAACGAATCGTATGGAATAATATTATACTCGTAATTCCCTTAGAGCACCTGTGGGACTACATGGAAAGATAAATGAAAACTTGGCAACTTCGTCGATAAATCTTAACAATCATGGAAATAGGCTTACATAAGACATTTAATAAATAAAAATAGGGAATGTCAAGCAGCAGTTTACAGCAAGGAGAACAAATACGCGTTATTACATACTTTTTCTTCTAATGTTTTAAATAATGTTATATTAATTTTTAAAACATCCCTGTATTTAAATGAAACGATGTATTTTGCCCAGTGACCAATGGCAAGGCGTTTTTTCGCCCTTTGATTACGCAAGTTTACAACTGCTGAACTGCATACGTTCCGCGGACAGAGTAGGTATACCTAGAAATTTGATTTTATCCAGTTACGAAAATTATGTGACAATTTTGGCGGAGAGTCTATCTAGCGCCAAGGCCTTATTTTTTGTTAAATTAAAATAAAACAGACAGTTTCCATTTTCCAGTTAATCTTAATAAAACCTCCGTTATAACAGTGTTTTTTTTATGAAGATAAAACTATTTATACCTCCTTCAAGTGAAAAAAATTCTTTTGTTTCTTAGCTAATTTACAATTTTCTGCACGTATTTTCAAAAATTTGAAACCTAAATAACAGTTTTTGAAGTTTTTACGAAATTTGGATGCAAACAAACATTTAATTAATTATTGAAAAAATATCTTTTCTTCGACACTGTCAAAATTTACGGTTTTTCTCCCGGGTAAGGAAGTTTTGACAACTGTTTGCATTTCTCAATACGAAACGTCAAATTATTTTTAACAGATTTAAAGCAAGTTTAAGCCTTGTTGAGTCTAATTCGAAGAATAAAATGTTGTATTCAACTCGTTTAAGTATAAATCGGACGCTTTATTTGATCGAGTGGATTTTTAAACCACGAGTGTAACGAGTGGTTTACCATCCACGAGGTGGAATAAAGCGTCCGATTTACACTCAAACTCGTCGAATAAATAAATATTATATTGCAAAATCAAAATCAAATTTACAAATACTTACAAATACGTTGATATTTCAGTTTTGTAAAAATTTGGTAGAGAAATTTGAAATAACTAGGGTAAATCCGGGGGAGATAGAGATGAGCTAGTGGAATAGATGGACTTTTGAACTTAAAGCCCTTCTATGGCCCCATCTCTCATAGCAGTGTTAATCTTAATGTTTAAAGTCAGGTACTGAAATGAGAGACCGCTTGGGATACGCGTGACCCAATACAAAAGTATAAGTATTTTGCACAAAAATTTAATCAAGAAAATTTAGTTCTTGTATAGACAATCGTCTCAGTTTAATAGTGGCAAGATTAAGATTCTTTACACAAAAATATACTAATAGCTATGATGTATACGAAAATAGTAGTAATTTATTGAAGATAATGTTTTGTATATTTTTAGTGGAAGCATACAAATTAAATTAGAAAAAAAATGCGCCAAATAGAAAGAAACGAACTGTAAAAAAATAGACACAGGTTTGTGTCAAAAATATAGAAAATAATAATAATTAGAAAGAGTGTGTAATTTTTATTTTGTTACTTTTATAAGTATTGTTATGTTCATGTTAAGAAAAAATATATTTAGTTTAAAATGAAAAATAGATCATAATTTTATAGCAGGATTTTCAAAATGTGGTCCATCTCCCCCGGATTTACCCAATGTAATTTCAAAACAACACAACGGCTGGTTGTGTTTGATTGCAATCAAATTACAATCTTGTATTCATTCATCTGAGTAAAATGCCAAAGTTCTTTCATTGTAGTTTAAAATTTTTTCTACTAATGACTTAAATTTGTTATTTTACTCCATTTGTTTACACTTGAAGTTGTGGTTATTTATTACATACATAAATAGAGAAGAGCTGTTCATTATCTATGAAAAGAATCACGAGCAGAATTATGCTAATGTTTTTTATGTGTAATATTAGATATAATTTATAATATTAACTTTTTTCAAGAATCTCATTACCAGTTATGGTAATGGCCTCTATTTTATGAGAAGTTTACGATTGGATTGGTTATACGTAGGTACTCGATTTTCGCAAACACTTACATTTTTTATAACAACAAAGACGAATTCTAATAACAAAGTTTTTCTACACTGCATCTTACAATGAAGAATATATAAGTAGCTTAAATAACAAAACATAAACATATACAGTGTCATACTATGTACCAGTTTTCCATAAAAAAAACATATTTTGCTAAATAAAAAAAGCTGCAGATAATATTCTATAGAATTATAAAAACCATAAGAATTTATGAATTTCATCTTAAAGGATGTGTGTACTCTTTCAAAATATTTCCAATCGCCTAAAACATTTCAGATTTACATAAAAATGACTTCAAATATTTTTCAAATGAGCTCGTCGATTCCACATCTCACTTTGAGTGTTGCAATTTTTACGACTGCGAGTTGAATACAGTCGCCACAAAAGGTCAACCTTCACGCTTCACAGGGTGGACGAATTAAACTCAAGATAATAAATATCGCTCCCTATACATTCGCGGATTAAAATGGAAGTCCACCCATTTGACAACGGTTACAAGAACATTATTCTGTCAAAGTGGCGACTAACAAGACTTTATCAGATGACAAGAGTTGAGCCTTGTAATAATAAAGTCTGCCGAGTATGTAAAATAGAATTCTCGCGGTGAAACAACAAGTAAAGGTCATGTTGGACTTGAACAATTTTTGTCTTCATTTATGAAAGCATGAAATTGTTTCAGGACTTACCGATCGCGATCAGATGGATCCGACGTTGCATCAGGCCTCGGTCGCTTCACCTGAAACGAAGAAGTGATTTCAACGAGAGCTTGGGATTTGATATTCCTATACCTTGGAGTCGCACATCTTATCGATTATCGCGCATCGTGTCGATTGGGCATTGAGGTAATTACAAGGCATTATAGTCACCATGATAATGGCACCCGACGGCTATCGCGATCACACCACTCAAAGGACCATCGCCAAAACCGCACTCGACACTGACCCAAAACCCAATTTTGAATCTTTACGCACTGCCACTAAGCGAAAACATCGCTGAAATTTCAAACACAGCTTTATCGCAAGACTCGGTCAGCTTTACATTCCTTCCTTCGTTGCCTGCAGCAGACTGAAAGCCCTCGCACGAACCGAGGAGGAGGGGTGAACGCACACCTCTCTGGTGGAAGGAGTCCGAACTATCGGCGAGCTTTCAGAACCAATGGCGATTATATTCCGAGCTCCAATAGTGTGGAGGATAATTATTGTTTTATTGTGCATAATAAGCGGAGGAATACCTGTTCTCGAGAGACCATACCCAAAAAAAAATCAAGGAGAAACAGGAAGTTTGGGAAATTTTCAGACAGATGGCAAAATCTCAACTAAATCTTGTTTTTCTCGTATTGAGCCTCGCGATAAGATCTTAATAAATACATTCGACCCTTCCGATTTTACCCCCGAATCACCGGAAATAAACACAATGTGTTTATTATGGGCCATTTCGAGCGGCTTTTAAGGCTTTATTTAAATACTAGTTTCAAGACTAGATCAGCGGCTTTTGAAAGAATTAAACGATTGCTTTGTGTTAACTGTGTCAAAATAAGCGAGAGGTTAGTGCCAACTAGGACCGGTAGGTCTGAAATAACACGGTTTGATTTAGAAATTGAAATTAGATACCTTTTTTGGTAGCAGTTGTAACAATTCTAGTTTCTAGTTTACCTATTTCTCCTGTGACTAGCATTACCTACACAAATAGATTTTAATAGTTATAGAGGAATTTTGCGAGATTTTGTCTGATCTAAAGAAGTCAAAATAACGCAACTTGCCTTATCCCAAAGTTTATAGTTTATAGTTTATAATTTATAGAAGTGCAACTTCGAAAAAAAATTATGTTGCAAAATTGTTAGTTTTTGTAATTTTTTTTAAATATGAAGACACTTTTTCTGTGGCTGTTGCAATTTTTTAAAACTATGTAAATAACAGATTTTGAAGATCTAATCTCAGAGATCATACAGGGTTATTCATAAATATGACCTAAATATGACAAAAATGACTTAAAAAATTATGTTAATTTTAATAATATCCCTACTGAATTTTACAGCCCTCGGAATGTGGGTATGGAAATTTGATTTTTTTGTAATAACTTTGGAACTATGTACCTATTTGACCAAATATTATAAAATTTCCTTGCGAAAACATACCTTTTGAACTGGTAATCACGAAAACCGGATACATCTACTCAATTTCCGGTTCCAGCAATTACAGGTCACATTTTCTGTGTTTTTCCATTTTTCTGCTCTCTTAACACCAATTTTTTATTGCCCAAATCGATAGAGTACTTAATCAATTTCGAATAAAAACGCATAACCTTTAATACCCCTAAAATGGATCGTTTCAAAGATATTTTAATTTAAACCGAGTACTGCACAACGCTGAAATCAAAAAGTAGGGATTTTGAATGGATGATATCCACGACAACAAATGACCATGGTCACAAATCACTGTCAAAACACAAATCACTGTCAACTTTGACATTGGACGATTATTGCGCGATTAATCGAAAATATTTAATAAAAAAGTTTACCTCAGACACCAAACATAACCTACAATAAATCCAAATCGATCTCGTAGCATTTAATTTATAAAAAATTCACAAAAATTTATCACTGTCCAATTATTATTAGTTCCAATCGGTAGGTATTTCATGAATTAAGGATTAAAAACACCAGTGATGGTTGATAGAGCCACTTAAATCCTTAAAACTGCACAGTAACGTATGTATGTACCTACAAGGAAGCAATTACTAACTTGTGTTTCGAAGAGAAAACGGCACCACAATATTTTTTGAATCACATTCATTTCACTATTTATTTCTTGTTACAATAAACAAATAATGTTGTTACAATAAGTTCTTATAAAGCATGAAGAGTATAGGAAAAATCTTGAAAAATTGTATTTAGGTATATTAATTTGACATTCTTTTAAATACTTAATTCAAGATATATTTAATTGTATGTAGATAACGGCGATGTTGTAACATGTTTTCATGTTTTTTTAAGTAAAAGATCACAAAACATTGACCATAAAAGTCACAAATTACGTTGAGGATACCTAATATGTAGTTGCAAGACAGTACCTTTTACTTTTATATAAACACAGGGTGATTTTGAGGTAGGTATGTCCAAATATTTTAACAGGTTATAAAAATAACTCAACTTGCTTTATCCGAATGTTTATAGTTTTAGAGATGGAGAGGGATTTGTCAATAAATTTAAATTTGCGGCGCTGCCTTGAACTTCACCAACTCAAATTGAGGTTAGTTCTGCAAAAATGTATAACTTCAACTTAAAAAAAAAATGTCAAAATTAGTAAAAACAGGCACAGAAAAAAGTGTTCTCATGTAAAAAAACAATCATAAAACGATAAAAAATAAATTTTGTTGAAGATTTCATTACCTCAAATGTTGTCGATTACTAGCAATGTAAATTTTTGGATAAAGTACTCAAAAGGTTCAATATTCGTTTATGTTGCATTATTTTGATATTTTATTTTGTACTCAATGCTAAAGAGTGCTTTTATCAACTAATTTCAGTAGATAAAGTAGTCTTTTATCGTCTAGTGAAACAAAGTAATTTTTATCTACTGTTTATATTCAAGAAATTCTGGTGGGTGAGTACAAAATAAATCAAAATATTATACACGACGATAAAGATTGTTTATCGTCTTGCATAATAAATAACTATTTTTCGACGCCAATGTGGAGGTTACACCCTCATTATGTCAGAAACTATAAACATTCGGTTGAGGCAAGTTGAGTTATTTTGACTTCTTTTGAGCTCTACTATCGCCTGTTGAAATATTTGCACATACTCCACAATCACTCTGTATGTATAATTCTTGTGTTTTAAATTACAGTACTATTTTTGCATGTAAAATATTTCTTCAATAAAAAAAAAGAAATTTAGTGTTTGGTATAGACTGCCGAATAACAATTCAACATTCTCGCAATTTAGAAAGTCTCATCCAAACTTTTGGCTCTTGTCACGTGTTATTATAAACGTTTAGTGGGAGGCTGTGACCGGGAAGCCCCCCATAAATTCGAAATAGTGTTAGCCTACAATTTTTTGTGTATGTCCCGCGTCGAGACAACATTAAAATATTTGACCCAGATGTCACATGTCACATTTCGCTCGCTCATAGTCCCGTTTCGTGGTCCGTTCGTGACCATCATCAACCCATGAACCACTTCCCAAGCATTATAATAAAATTTTACCATGACAAATTCGATTAGGCCCGTGTCCGCAACGAATTTTCGACTCGTACCTCCGTTCGTAATCAACATAAAAAATAAATAATTGGGCTTTCGTTTGTTTTGTTCGTAGTTTTCGTTTAAGGGTTGACTGCCATGTAATTGCGTAACGAGAATGTCGCTGTGATTACCACGTCCGAGTGTGTGAGGATCGGTGGGTGAGAAAGCCCACGAAACGGGGTAACATATCTGTAATATTGCGGGTAAGATATATTGCAGATTGTTTTGGTTGGAATAAACATGGTGTAATGTGATGCTGTCGACAAGAGAAACGCTGTCGGTTTATGTCGTCGATGCATATGGATGTGTCTGGCAGGCATGCTTGCATGAACATTGATTAGGAGATGTTGTATAGTTATTTGTACATATTATATTTTATTAATGAATTTCTTATTGCGTTTTCATGACAACTGTAAAATATTCTGTTGGAGAAATTGTAAAAATTTCAAATAATAAATGTAAAATATTAAATGGCCAAATACGCAAATAAATATAGACACAAAAAACAAACCATAAAATAAAACTTGCACAATTTTAATTTGTTTTTTAGCGGGAAAAGAAGTAAGTAATTAACTTTACATATTATTTGATATACCAATCAGAAAAATCTTGTTTCCATATAAATATTTTTGAATTTCGGCATTTTGGATACCAAGCAATAAGAATAATATACCTATCTATTCCATCAAACAGCGAGTTCGAAAATGTTACTTATATGAATTAATAAACGTGCTTTTCAATACATTTTTTAGAACCCATCTATTAGCAGATTTACTGCTAACGTGTTTTCGTGATTCTTGATTGTTATTTGATCGTATCCGTACTGTCTCCATACTTGTGCCAACGATAACGACCTAGACAGTTAAAATTTAAAGACTAACGCGGACGTTATTACGCATCTATCTATCTACAATAGGCACGCTCAAAAGACTACTTTGGTCAAGTTTGACATGATTTTGAGGAATTTTGCCAAAATCTTTTATTAGTATTTCGAAAAGTTTTGAACGAGACACTTAATTATTGACACTTTTTGTTATTCAGTCAGTCATTAGGCGACAGTTTTACATGATGTAAATGAGCTTGTCTCGTTTTTTATCAAACCAATTTTAATTGGATTGTCTAACGTTTGGTAATAAATTGTATGTAAATTGAGGGTGTAAAAATCCGAATAGGTATTTAATTTGTACAAATACGTATAGGTACTCGTATATAAACATAAACCGTAGAAGATTTATTTAGAGTGAAAGAGTAAGTATCGATGAACCGAGAAACGCTACAAAGTAGCTGCCACAGACAAGAAAACCAAAGCAAAGAAAACGGCGGTTAATAAAGTTGAGAAAATGGAAATATCAACTGAGGTCGAAGATATTTCCATTGTAGAAATCCGAGCTCGCAACATAAAAACTGGTTATTAAAATTAGAACTCCCTGAAGAACACGAAGTTGAAGTTTAGAGATATTGTTAGGTGTATAAATATCGCGAAACCGTTCTAAAGCTAAACCGAGAGAAGCTTTATCAACGTTCCACTTAATTACATCCATTCTACTCATTAGAAGTAAAGAAGAGCTAGCACGTAACTTTTGACCCGAACCAGCAATCCGTCTCATACGCACCCTCCCGAAAACCTCCACATAATTAAAGGATGCCCCAATTAGCTCAAATATTATGAATTGCACTGTGCAAACGTCAGAAAAATATGCGAAATGGCCGAATACGATCCAAACCACGTTTTCCTCCCTTGTTGAAGAAACATCAGCTAGTGTCAAATGTGCGTGTTTTTACGACGACGTATTTTTTATTATCCTAAATTTAGAGCCGTAAAGCCGCGAAC